GTAGTCAGGCCTAAGATGAAGCTACCTTTGAAAACTTTTCTCCTGACCCACTCCTTGCCTTCATTCCCCTAGCTGTGAAGCTGACATTCCTCCTCCTCCCAGGGCCATCAAATGCTCTTTTCACTGCTTGATTTTGGCATTCTGGATGGCAACACCTTGTAACATGAAACTTTGAAAAGACAGAATCACAAAAGAGTATTTTAAATGTAAAAATAAAAAGAAATATAGAGCCACATTTGCAAGGACAAAAGTACACACATAAACACATTCTGAGTGGCTCTGAAATTTTCCAGAAAGAGAGCAACAGTTCAGTGCAGACTCACATCTGTGCTTCATTTCAGGAAGCTGTAGGCTCTCACCGCATTCTTCAGAGACCAGATGCGTAACCCCAGTCACGTCAGTGCTTTCTCCCACTTGAGCAGCCAGGAACATTTTCTGTGAAGTTGCTTTTGTCCATTGTCTTTCTTTGCTTTCCTTCAATCAGTCCTAGTGGTGCTATTGATTCAGTGTAGCCTCTTTAAATGTCCTGCTTTGAGTACGGGCACTGGTTCTTCTTGGGCTCCCAAACATACATTCTAGCTAGAGCACTGACTGACTCCTTAACCAGGCAGGTGCTAAAAGTCACCATCACTTAGGATCTTTAAGTGGAAACTGGCCATCTATCTATTTTAGTCTCAGGTTCAAGCAGAAATTTGATTTGTCACACATGCAACGTCTTTTCATTACGTGTGTATTTTGCTATAAAGGATTGCAGGACCTAATGAAAACTTGCTTCTTGCCTAAGGATTCCTGGCTGTATGAACGATCATTTCCTGAGGTCCTTTCTGCTCACATCCAGCAGAAGGAATAATTCCCTCTACTACAGCAATTATTGGCAAAATTCAATGACCCCTGTTAAGCTGGAGGCCAAAGTAAGTAAATGGAACAGCGCCTTCTAGTTTTAAACACTCCCAGAGCCTCTATGTGCCTCCCCTTGCACATGTATTGAGGCCAACTGTCTAGCCATCCAGACGAGATTCCTACTAGGACATCAAACTTCCTGATATTCCAAGGTCCAAAAATTTATTTTCATGTGATCAAAACACAATCTTTAGCTAGCACTGTTTGTCAGGAAGGAAAAATCGCCAAACACTTTGTGCAATTTAAGTGCAGTGCTTACCTATATACTACACCAGTGGTATGAACGCAGTGTCAGATGGTTTCGGAGACTCTTCAATCACAGAACATATTGTGCAAAAATACTTCAGTTTTGATCTAGAAGATAAAGCTCTGCTAGTGTTTCTGTCTCCATACCTTCTCTGCACCTGCTGAAACTACTAGCTCAATGGTCACTGACTTTTCATTTGAAAAGGATGTGGGCCTTGAGGAAGACATGGACTAAGACTGCTGCATTCATTACACAATTATTGCTGCTCTTCACCTTTTCTGTTATTACTTATTTTTCCAATAGAGTCATGTTGGGAAACAGATGGACTGGCCAGCTCTACTCCTCCTCTGACAGCGCACTATTTCTAGAAGTGGCTTATTGCTCCACTGCTTTTTTTCCATTGTTAAGCCAAATGCACAATGAAGGACTTGGCAGCCACACTCTCAGTGGCCACCACCGGTCAGCTGATCAGCAGTATCTTAGCTGCTGGGGGAGGCAAAGGCTCCTCTTTCCCCATTCTTGCTGAGGCAGGGGCCTGTTTCTCTTTCAGAAACACTGAGATGAGATGATGAAGGAAGGTCTCCAGGAAGCTGTAGGAGCAAGTTCATCTGTATTTGCAAAATTTACAGTTATACAATTTGCAAATGGTGGCAGGGATCTGCATGTATGAAGAGGTTTGCATTCCTGTCGCTAACCTCTTATACCAATCAGCCAGCACTGCAATATTTGCTATTCAACTACCTCCTCGCTTTTAAACTGTGGATCAAAAGCATTCGAGGTGAAGAACTTTTCCCTGCATTTGCTTGAAAACTTGGCACAACATTACTAGCATCTTTTAAGTACAGACTAGGTCTCAGCAGCAGCCAAACCTGCACCCTGCTGATTAGCATGCCTCACAGTACCTAAAAGACATTTGACTTAAGAACCCAAGAATTTCATTGTTCAAGCACTTTTTTAGATCCCTATGCCTAAAAATGGTTTTCAGTAACGTCTGTGCGGCTTTGAGACCTCAGAAAAGGTACTCTGGGAGCTAGGAAACATTTCCTAGGAGGCAAAAATGTGATCAAAAACATATTTAATAAAAAGGAGAAGGGGTAATGATGCTTTCTAACTGCAATTCTATTTTCTTTCATCTCAGAAGCATGCTGCAAGTTTAAGAATGGGGGATGACAACTGCATTTTGTTTTGTGGCTTTAAAAAAAAAAAGTCTCTCATCGAGGTCTTTTTTTTGCCTAAACCCAATAAGCTATATATTGGAATGACCTTGTAACAGGTTTCTGTGGCTCTTTAATCACCAGTGGCTGCTAAATGAAGCATGTCTATTTTCTCTGTTACATTACTATTGGCAACCAGGTCTTCAGTAAGTGCCCAGAAATATTTCCATGGCAACAAAAAGCTTTCAGCATTGCTACTGTTTTGTGCCAATTTAGCTTTAAAATATTCTATTGTGGAAAGAAATACAGTACATTAAGCGAAATAAAGTCAAGATGCAATGTTCTGAAAAGAATATAAGAATATAAGGATAAACAGGAAACATGTATTTTGCAGAAACAGGGAAAAAACACCAAATGTAAAGAAAAAAAATGTTCAAAGCTAATATCAATGCTACTAAATGCCTTTGCTGAATGTCAGCAAATCCATACGCTCTCTTATATTATCACGTAGGGTTAGGTAACAAAGCTAACAGAAATAAGGATACCTCAAACATCTTCTCTTGATCATTTTAATTCACGACTGCAATTTTAAGTTATCAGGGTATTACAATCTCTCTGCATGTCTAGGTTATCATCAAAATATCATCAATGTTAGAGAATGAATCTAAAGGAGTAAGAGGAAACAGAGTTGAAAATGAAAGAGAAAGAGCATGAGTGTGTTTTGGAAGTGAAGGAGCACTTATAAGAGCGAAACGTGTTCCTCCACATCAAAGTTCTCATGGAAGACAATTTCAAACCACAGTTCAGAGCTTTCCCTTGTACTATGTAACTTAGATAGTTCCATGAAAAAAGGAATCGGGTCCCAGTCCTCTGACCCTGAAGCAGGGGAGCACCAGATGGCCCTTTGTACAGCGCATTGCAGAGAGAGGAAAAGATAAAAGATCATTTGAAAGCCTTTGGAGTGAGATTCCCCCGGTGTAAAAAATGGCGCGATGCCCTCTAAAGCTCCTCATGCAGAAGCAGAAAGCTCCTGGCACATGCGACATAGCTGCGGGGAAGCTCTGCAAGGGCAGTCTTTCAGTCCTTGGTGCCTCCACATAGGCTGCTGTGAAGGAAAACTAATAATAAGAGATAGCCCAGCAGCACCAGGGTTGTATGCTCAGCTCTGTTGCATCCATGTGCATGTTGGACGCTTGATCCAAGCACACACAGCAAATCCAGCCCTTTGGCTTTGGCTCAGTGCCTGTGAACAGACTCTAAGGTCAGGATACCGCACCGGCAGAATATAAGGAAAGGGCCTGCAGGTACCAAAAGGTAGAGGAGCCATGCAGACAAAAGCTCTAACAGATACAGCTCTGGGATGCTTAACCCAAGAACCAGCACTTGTTCATTTGGGATATGACATGAGCAGCCCCAATTTGGGAGACAAGACAGCTAGACCAAAAAGCTCTTCCTAATTATTTACTCTCTGGCCGTAATGGTGTGAGGAACAGTAATAAAGAAAGAAGCTAGTTTTAACATTCATCACAGAACACCAACAAGGTTTATACCCCCTCCGTCTGGTATTCCTATTATATACAAAAACAAATAGGCTGATATTCTGCTGGCTGCACAGCAAGGCTAGGTACACAAGGCTTCCCCAGAAGCAAAAAGTGATGTAAAACTCCTTGTCATCTTAAGGCAAACTTTTCAAAAGCATCCATTTCCCATTTCAAAAAATAGCGTAGATATCTGAAGCCAAGCTCTGAAGAACTTCCGTGAGTCTCAAGCTTTTCATCAGCTTCATATCTAGACCACTCCCCTTTTCCCCCTCCTTTCTCGGGAAGGAAGTTGTTCCTAAAGAGCGGCTTTAGCCCACCACAACCCAAAGACTGGGTCAGCAGATTCCAGCTTCCTGGCATGCTGTTGAGATATGCACCTTCGTCAGTTGTCTGTGACCTGGGGAACCTCAAGCCACACTTATAGTGATAACTGGTGAGTAGGAGTCAGGTGGCTGAGATTCAGTCCTTAATACAATTGTCTGAGAAGCCTTTCATGTCACTTAATGATCCCAAGTTGTAGTTAGGCTATTTAAAACTAAAAATATCAAATTTGGTTCTCCTTCCCATAATCTCCTGCCTACTGTCCTCTTCAGTTTTATTTGAAAAGCTGTGGGGGAGGTGGAAGGGGAGGAAAGCGATTTGGGAACCTTTCCTCCATAAAATCATGAGATATGGCTAGCTTTTTAGTACAGCATTTCACAGCACATGGTACAGTAACATCTTGAGATTCCTGGCACAAAGAAACAAAGTTTGAGATTATATATATCTTTAATAGCAATGACGCAAAGGCAGATGGCTCTCAAAGCAAAGGCTTAAGGCTAAACACTCCCTTTGAAGGGTTCTGATAACTGAAGCAAAATATGGGGCGAACAAACTGCTCTTTGCTACAGCAATAGGGCCTGATTGCCTTTTAAACACACAGTGTTTCAACCTGGAGATTTCCATTTATTTTAGTGAGATTAGTTTCAGAAAAGAGAAGAGAATCAGGAACATAACAGGGAAGAGCTGCATTTTTCTTTGGAGTTTTTGTTGGGGTTTTACTTTAGCTGTGAGAAACAGAGATGACAGAACAAAATAAGCAGATTAGCAACTAAATCAAATTAATGCCAGAGAAGAGAGGCCTGGATAATACTGTCAGGGTGCTTGCTAGCTGCTTACCTGCTAAGCTTGCCTTGCCATTATTACTTTTTAAGGAGCCACTCATGCTGATGTCATGCTCACAGTCTCTCATCCTCATGCAGGGCTCACCACCTTCCTCAGCAATGGTAGGAAGTCGATCAAGTGGCTGGAGATCTTCATTAGTCCAGTATGATCCATTGGCTGCCAAAGACCTGGGGCTTTCAGCACACTGCTTTGGTAAGCTGGTAGCATTTTTAACCCGTTTTTGCCTCTGCAGAGCCACATCAGAGCCACAAGGGAGGGCTTGCGGAACAAGACCAGGACCTGTTAGTGGAACGTGATCGTCTACTCTAGGATGCAAGTATTCCTCGTCCCACAGGTCCAGGTGTCTTTCATCTTCTGATTCCTCAGAATAATCCTCATAAACGCCGCCGTTATCCTCCAAGTCCCGGTTTCTCTCTTCCTCTGACTTACGACCTGCTCCACTCAAGTTCAGCAGTGACGCAGATATAGAGTCTCCTGCTTGTTGGATAGCTTCATATATTTGGGACATCCAAGACGACAGCGGCTGAAGGAAATTTTGAGCAGCCTCAGAAGCCATGTTTAACACTATGCCAGAATCTGATGATCAGTTGTTCAGTTTTGCCAGCATGTCACTTATAATTCAGGGAGCTATAGAATAAGCATCATAAGAGATTACTGTAAATTGCTTGTCCATCAACAGCTGTCGACACGCTACGTTCCTAAGATGTCTAGATCAGAGAGGAGAAATGGAAAAATGCCTTCTACCCATTTCAGAATTCCACTAGAAATCCAGAAATGATGGACAAATTACGCATATTCCAGTAGAACTCTGCAAAACTTTCATTCACTTGCTACCACCTTATGCAAAAATGTAAACATAGAGCAATCTGAGCAAAAGTACCTCTTCTGAGCATACACATTCTGGTTGCAGCCATCAACAGAGCTAGTACAAAAATACAAACCAACTTGCAGCCAAAAATCAAAAGAACTTCGTGGCCCCGACTTCTACCACACCCTTATCATTATCACATCCAGATGGGAAAAGGGAAGTATGGAGAATTTGGAGAGAATTAGGTTTTGCTTGATTAAAGTGACAGGCCTAAAGCTTGCAGAATGAGCCCATGGCAGATAACTATCTCAAATGCCACGCTCTATAAAAGATCCAAAGAAGTCCCCTCTGTCTACAGAGTTTCACAACCCAAATTTCTTTTCCTCTTCACAGAGATGAACAAAACATAGCAGGTGAAATATTATGGATATGAAATTACTGGGAACAGGAGAGAATTAACGAAAGCCTTGGTATCATGGCCGTATACCCATTATAACCCTCAGCGGCTGGACTAAGCTACTTCTTCACTATGGAAGCAGACATAGCCCAGATCTTTATAGCATTCCTTAAGCGGGGAGCAATCATAAGGCAATTATAAAAGTTGGTATATTTTAATTGTTATGAAAGTAGTGTTATATCTAGAATAATTGCATATCTGTAAAAATGTAAATATTAACCTTTTGGACTGAGACAAATGGTGAGATGTGACTTTTCTGAATGGAGATGGAGACAGACTGATCACATCTTGTTTTCTTAAAACTCATCTGATTCTAAATAAGAACATAGCTCTTTAATTTTCTGCAAGTTATGAAAACAATTTTTCTCTAATACATACCTTCTCACATTATCACTATGAGATCAGAATTTCTTTGATGAATTTACAGAAGAAGGAAAAGCCTACAAATAGGATGATGGGTTTAGGAGGAAAGAATTAAATAGCTACAGATTTGGGGCTAAAAGACAGATTAAACAAAAATAAGCTTCAAATAGTTAATACCAGCATCAATCTGTGTCTTGCTGAGTTCAGAGGTTTCTGCAATGTCAGTGCTTCACTCCCCAAGAAACAACCATTTAGCACGATGGCAAACGCTTAGCTAGGAGTAATCAAAGTATAAAAGGGAAAATACAGTACAAGCAGCAAGAAAATAACCTCTGCAGCAACGTCTGTTACCTCGTGAAATGGTCTCCAGAGAAAGGTACTAGGAACCACACTGTTTTGGATATTAAAATAAGCATGGACTAAGGAGATCCCACCTTTTTAGGGGAGCATCTTCTTTACAGATGAGATCAGTGACTTAGAAGGTCTTTTCCTTTTGAACCATCTGTGCTGAATAATTTTGCTCAGGGCTGTTGACCTTGTTACAGTGTATTCTGCAGACACTTTAAAGAAGGTTATTATCAGTTTCATATACATATACTTAAAATCACAGTCCTAACAAAGGCAATAAATGAATTTAGGTGATTAAAGCCATTTGAAAAGCTGATGACTGTTACAAACTTTTCTGGCTCAGGGCACATGTTGCTCCAATCTCCATCTGTCAACTGCTGGCCACTGGCTCAGCCCCTGGGACGTGGGTAACATCCCCTGCCATGCATTAAATCTTTGGCAAAGAACAGACGATGTCAAGACATAACCTCCCAGGTGAGCTGTTCCCTTCATTGACCTCCCTCTTTCCAGCCCTGCTCTTGTCCAAGCCCCTTTGCTTTGTGCAATTTGATTCTGTTACAGACCTAAACTGATTACACATGCCAAATGATACATTTTCAGCACAATACAGATTTGCTACTGCTAAGGCATGAGCACCATAGATGTCACTGGAAGGAGATGATGCACTGGACAGTGAGATTCCCCCAGGCATGGAAGGAGGTAAGTTTGGGTGGCTAAGTATTGGATACAGGATGCATTTTTAACCTCTCACTTAACCATCTGCCTCTATCTCAGCAGCAAGGTATAAGACAGCAGTGACCCCTTTGAGGGATGTAAACACGCAGGAGTTATAGTTAACTAACACAGATATAACATATGGGTGCTAAAATGAAACACTGATTTTTTTTTTTAAAAAAAACAACAACAAAAAGAAACAAATCATAGGCTTGTGATCTTTTCACAGGGAATAATTAGCTTGTCGTGTTATTAGATTTCAAGGCTAACACTCCTCTGATTCAACAGAACCATGTCCACTTCTTTCAGGTGCAGTGGCTGCCTGCCTGAAGGCTCAGCCAAATATCACGGTGCTGCACAACAGTCTCCATGATCGGGAGGTTGTTGTCCTGACTACAAAGATTGAGGGAGTTTTTCAAAGTGACATTTCAGTTCAGCCACAGGATTAATGCAGTGCTTTAAAATCACCTGCAGTGATTGGATGTGGTCACCCAGTCATCTCAGTGGGGCAGATAAGAGTTGAACTTCCACCTTTTAAGTACCAAGTGAATGTCCCAAATGTTCTGCTATCGCAAAAATGACACACGCACAGACACAGACAAATCCAGAATTCTAACCAAGACCTGAGAAACTTGTCTGGATTAAAGCCAGACATCCAAAACAAATGTTCTGATTTCAATAGATAAGTAACACACAGACACTGAAGCGTTCATCAGTGGAATAATCTGAATCTTGTCATTGTCTTACCTGTGCAACACGCAATCCAGCCAGTGACTACATAACACTTACCAGCCAAAGTAACACAATTTCCAGGGTGCCTGACCCTGTTGAGTCTTTGCTTTTCCTTCAGTGATCTCTCTTACTGAGGACGCCACAGTCAGGACTACGCTGAACAACTGGAATTCAGTCAAATTATAAATTGCTTATTTCTGGTCTTGCAGCAGATGGATAAAACGTGTAACAAGCTGCAGAGTAGTTTAGGCGGGTAACGGTTTTACAAACTGTATAGAGGATCAAAGGGGCTTGATCTCTTATAGGCTTGCTGTTTCCCAGGAGCGCTGTCCCTTAATTAGCGGGCACTGTTTTAACCGGGTGTTTAGGATACACTTCACAACACAGCCTTTTCAACCTTACAGATTTTTACTTTTAAATAACAACTAACAATTTCAGCTTGCATTAAGGGGGGGGAAAAAAAAAACAAAACTGAGAAGAACATTTGAAATGTGTGGGAAAGAAAAATCAACTTCTTTTTGAAAGCATTCATCCAAAAAGAGAGCAAAAAGAAAAAAAATTAGTGGATTCACTTCAAATTCCACCTTCTAAAACTAACCACAAGAATTTTCACACTGAATAGCCCTCAGAGCTGTTTTTCTTCCTCTTGAAAAATCAGATAGCTAAAAGGATCAATGTTAGACCTCTCACAGAAACCGTCATAACCTTTACTATAGGCCATCTACAATCTATACTCCCTTGTCTTGACAAAATCATTATTCCTCGAGTAGCATTCCTATGGAGAGGTGCGATTTCAGCATAGCTAAAAAAGACTATGAGTAGAATTTCAAGAAATACCAGAATGCACAGGTTTATAACATTAGGAAAATGTTCCAGCCTTCTTGATATGCAGGCCCCTAAAAAGTTGCCATTAAAGGTGCAGTCCCTGGAGATTTCCCTTGTTCAGGCTACCGTATGGTATAGGCATGAAATCCTGCTTTTTAAGTCCCCTTATGTGTGCCAGACTCCTCCCAGGCCCTCCAAGGCTTGTAGACCACAGGTTGAAAACAGTGTCCAAGTACACAGTAACTGAAAAATTTTTAAGTAAAATTTTTTTTCTGAAATACTAAATGAGAAAGAATTCCACCACCTCACCTCCCTACTTAGGAACGTGCGGTCCAGCATAGAAATGCAGGGAGCTCCCAGCTTCCAAAGATCAGAAGACAAATTTGTCATATCACTGCTTTAGATTGTTTTCTTGTCACTGCCAAGAAATTGTACCAAAAAGTTTTATTAACAGTTTGGGAAGCTCGCTGAATCCAGCTTCCCACAACTGAAGTTCAATTGGTGCTCGGTCACCAGTTTAGATACAACATATGACAAGGAGAATGATTCCCGCCTTCCATACTTCTCAAATTTTAATTAAGCCACTGATAATTATTTGTCTTTATTTCCTGATCTCATAAAGAGAGCACCCAGTCCTCCATACCCACCTGGAACGCCACTGCTCCATGCACAGGAGCTTTATTTGTGGGGGTACTTAGGAAATGCTGTATTACGGACACGCCATAAAGCCTTGCTCTAAGCCTAGGAATAATGACTTAAAATGAGGCCCGAGTCCAAGCTGATGCCCAGAACATCAAGGGTCAGTGCAAAGGCAAGCCCACGAAAGGAGGAAGAGGAGAGGGCTTGGAAGGGTAGGATGATTGAGAGCTCTTTTTAAGCTATTGAAGACCACCATGAGCCTGATTCTACTTTCAGACTGGAGCCCAACTAGCACACATGATTTGAAACGGCCTCCACTGAAGGCAGGCAGTGGGAGCACTGGGCTAAGGAGCCCTCTATCCTAATTCTGGGAACACTCTCAACTCTGCTCCTCCTGTGGCTGCCAGAGTGATGTTTAACAAGATGCTAATCAAGCTCTTCCACTCTCACAGTGAAGGATAAGCATGGATTGCTATGATGAAACTCTATTTCCAGTTAAAATTCCAGGTGCCAAACCTAGCCTGTGCACTAGAAGCCGTTCTGTTAATCTGAGGCTCTTATAGAAGTGTTACCAGGAAAGTTCACAGAGAGCGCTCAAGGTTCATGTCAACTGTGAGCTTTGCTGCTTGACCCAGTCTCCCTAAGGTAAAAGAAGACAAAAATAAAGAACATCTTGGCACTTTCTGGCCTACGTGCTATAAAAATGCTACTTATGCAAGCCAATCAACAGAGAGACGCTTTCTAAGTGATCATGTGCTCTGTCATAATAGTTTGCAGCTGGTTATCCAAAAACTGCAGGGGATTTGAGGAAGACCTAATGGTTTATGTCAATAAAATACATAGATCTCATTGGAAAATGTTCATAGGTTAGAAACTGAAGGGTTATAAACCCACTCCTGCAAAGCACTGCTCTTGCATCCCCTGAGAAGTTGAAGTAAAAACAGAGATCAGATCAGGCAGACAGCAGCGCGCCCTGCTTAACAGGGTTTAGCCTAGGCTAATCATCTCACATCTTTGCAGGCATCTCACTGTTACTGATGCTGTGCCAAACTAGTTGTAAAAACTGATTTCCAAATGATAGAAGTGGTTTTGGTCAGGATATTTGACCCCATGCTGTTCTCTCCCCTCTTCCCAGTCCTTTGTTGTACACTCTCCTTTCGTTACAAAAATAGCAACAATTAACTACTGATCCCTACAGTTATAGTGGGGTGGGGAGAAGCGGAAAGGGCCAGCAGCAAAAGTTATTAGGTAAGCTTGACATTAATTGCTCATACCTGTAGAGCCTCTTTCAAAAAAGCCAGGTCTGTCCTCAATGTAGAGGAACGGTGAAAAATTCAGGCAGAAAAAACAGTGCTCCCAGAAGTCCAGCATCTAAATTTTTTTACGCTCAGAAATTGCACCAGTAACAGGGCTGACGCATGGATGGCAATTTCTCATTCTGACCACTGCACACCTTCTCCTTTATTTAGATTGTAAGAACTCTTGAATTTGGAAGTGTGTTTGCTTCACATTCATCCAGAGCTCACAAAACCGGGAATCTATGACTGCATGCATAGATGCTGTTGCCATCCAAATACTAATTCCCACCTTGAGTGAATTTTCAGGAAGGAGAAAATGGAAACTCCTTCCTTGACCATAGCATTTGGCCTGGATATATCCGAGAGCTAGATTCTGCCTTGACACTGGTCACTCCAGAGTGACTCCACCGAAGCCAGTAAAGTCTTCCAAATCAAAATAAGGCCCTTTGCATTTAAATAGCCACACGTCACAACAGGCACATAAAAACACAGTTCTGTGCTGAGCGGTAGTGCAACAAATCACGAACGCATAACTTTTATTATCTATATTTGCATTTCTCAAATTGAGGGTTACAAAGAGGGCATAAAGAAACTCACAGATGGCTGGAGTAATAGAAAAGTGGTGTTAGAAGAGGCAACTGAGTTCTTTGAAAGCAGAGGAGTGAAAAACATCTGTAATTACTGGATTAGGGGAATGAATGTATAAACCTGCAGTCAGAAATTACAGCACATTCTGTAACTGAGCTGCTGTCATTCATCGGCTTGCATGAAGACAGAGGAGCCAAAAGGAAATCACAAGTTCAAAAGGCTGGAGAAACACCAATTTACAGCACCACTCGAACCCACCCACCAGTGCTGTCAAGCTGTTCTTATAGAGCAGACCCAATAGACTGAGGCCCCACTCCTCCTGCAATCATGCTACTCCGTGTGCAGTAACTAAACAAGCCAGGGTCAATCAGAGCAATTACTTGCATGGAAATTAACAGTGGGAGAGCACGTCTAGC